TCTTCAGGCCCAAAATCAGTGCAGAGCTGCAGAATCTGATCTTACAGATGTTGGACAAGAACCCCGACAGCAGGATCAGCATCCCAGAGATCAAGGTACCAAACCGATGATCAGAGAACGAGTTCAGATCACCGTCCTTCAGCTTCAGCACGTTCTTCATGCTTAGAAAGCATCGCTGTGATTTCCTCACTGCTGATCACACGAGTGACCTCACTGTGTTCCTGCAGCGTTCTTACACAAACTGAGTGTGTTTGAGTGGATGGTCCACAATCATGGCCCAATCACACTCCCACTCCCCACTGTGTCACAATCTAATCATGAGTCATGTGACTCGTTTTCTCTGTTTGTAGATGTGGAGGCTCTCGGGCGTCGTGCACGTCCTCGCACAAACACACAATGACTCAAACCAAAAGAAGCATTTGTATTGTGACCTTCACACAGCGTTGGCTCACCTCTTATTTTGAAAAGACGAGGCTTGAATATTTCCTGTTAATGCAGCTGTTACAGTCGTATGTGTCGCGGGAAATTTGCTTTCCCTCGGAAAGTCGGATAAATCTGGGAGAACCTGGCATGTGCATCTGCCTGCAGCAGAGTGTCAGCTGTGAGCTGCAGCAGAGCCAAAGGAGCTCTGAGGGCAAACAAAGCAGCTCATCCTTGGGCTGCTGGAATCCACCAGAGATGTAGTGGGAACACTGGTGTGACTGGACTGACAATCGGAGACAAACATACGAGTGAAGCGCCGTCATATCCAGTCAAAGGCTGATTCAACAGTAATCAGCCTGAAGAAACGAAGAGGCTTAAATATACATACAGGCGTGACACAGTTATCACAGCAGAGGCATCACATGTTCCCATTGATTCACTAATGTTTGCTAATTATGTTTCATTCGTCACATTTAATCAGCTTATATTTATATTCTACTTATACTTTTGTAACTGTCTAAATGTTTGGCTCACAGTTAGAGAACTCGTCTTTCTTGCACCTCCAACATGGAAAAAGGGAAATGCAGAGCAAACAACACAAATCCCGCCCTCTCTGCAGCCCACAGAGGGTCTCGTGGCGTGAAGTGGAAAATGTGCAGCAGTGATTGGTCAGCGAATGTCACTTAGGTCACACTGATGCCTTGAATCACCCACGACGTCCATGTTGGTTCTTGCAGAGTAACACTTGTAATCAGTGCTGAGGGCTGTAATCTGAGGGCTGTAATCTGAGGGCTGTAATCTGAGGACTGTAATCTGAGGGCCGCCCAGCCTGAAACAAACTTCTCTGTAAACGTAGAAAAGCTCACGTTTGCCGTTAAATCCTTGCTTGGCCACGAGCTCGTAAACTGGCTGTATTCACTGTTGTGCGTTTCTGTGAACCTCTCATGTCGAGTTATGAAAGTGCCCTATTTCACTGCGCTCCATGCCCTTTCAGATGGACCCGTGGGTGACCCAGGGAGGTGCTGACCCCCTGCCTCTGGAGGAGGACCACTGCTCTGTGGTAGAGGTGACGGAGGAGGACATCCAGAACTCCGTCAAATTCGTTCCCAGCCTCTCTGCAGTGGTAAGAAACACCGAGTGTCCTCCGTTTATTAAACTGCTGCAGCAGCACTGAGAGCAGCTGCTCTTAACAACCACAGCCTTCTGTCTGTCAACCAAAACTGTGACAAAGTGCAGCCAGAGGGGCGGGGTTTCCTCACTGTTCAACCATAGTAGAGCCACATGAATGCATTTGAATGTCTCCATTATGTGTCTCCTTAAATGCACTAATGTTGCACTAATGTTGCGTTCATTTGAAAGCAAGCTCGCATAATAAGCTGTGTAATCACTGCAGACCCTCAGACTGGGCTTATTAACTGTGTTGGACATTATTAGTCTAACAAATGAACTGAATTAGAGAAGCTGAGGACGGTAAACTGCACACCAAGACAGAGTCAACACAGAATAAGTGAGAAGTTTTCCAGTTTAGAAAAAGCTCATTACAGCAGCAGGTTACATGTATACATGTACAGCAGTAATACAAAGTCCTCTATGAGCAAGCACTCGGTAACAGTGGGAAGGAAAAACTCCCTGTTAACAGGAAGAAGCCTCCAGCAGAGCTCAGGCAGGACGAGACACGCTAGGCAGGAGAGCCAGAGATTAATAACAACTGATGATTAAATGCAGAGCGGCGAATGAAGACGAAACACTCAGTGCATCATGGGAAACCCCGGCAGATTAGGCCTGTTGAAGCATGAACATCACCTGATACGTCGCCACAACATTAGTAACAATATTAGAGGAACATTGTAGCCACTCGTCGGCTCCACGTGTTGAGAACAGTGTCTGCATGTCTGTAACAGTACGGCGCCCCCTGCGCCCTCTCATGTAACTCGTGTTCGTCCCGTGTATGTGTTTCAGATCTTGGTGAAGGCCATGCTGAGAAAGCGCTCCTTCAGTAACCCCTTTGAGTGCCCGAGCCGGCGCGAGGAGAGGTCCATGTCTGCACCTGGAAGTCTGCTCATGTAAGAGTTCAGCTTCCTGATCGTCTGCAGCTCAGCACCTGCTGATCTTGTCTTTGAAGACAAACGTTTTGCTTGAGATTCTGACGCAGATCTTTTCTCCACACCTGTCTCCTTTCTTCAGGTTAAATAGCATCATTTTAGCAGCAGCAGCTGCTTCCTTGTGTTGCCATAGCATCATAATTCACTCTTTCACTGTAGCAGTGCAGCTCACAGCTTGTGTCAGTGTTTCTTTGTGTGTTGCTTTGAGCTCTCAGGACTAGAAGGACTCAGCGTGACGCAGAATCAGCGAGTGCCTCAGGCTGAGCTCGATTTGTCAGTAACGTGGATTCAGAGTATCACAGGTGTCAGCGGCCAATCGGCTCGTCCCCGCTGTGCATTTTCAACTTGTATGGCCGAAAACAAACAGGCGCACGTACAGCTGTTAGCAGGGGTGTCGTGGGCGCCCTCGGGTCTGTCTGCTGATGATGAACATGCTGCTGCTCGTGGAGCGTTACACGCTCGGCTGTCAGAGCCGCTCTCAGATGTTTTCACAGCATATGGATGTTTGAATAATACTGCCCCCTGCTGCACAGTGGACATCCAACTGCACGGCTGTCATAGAGTAATGAATAAATTCTGAGTGAGTACAATATGTTTATATAAAGATGTCAGATATTGTTAATATAAGCATATGGACACATAACAAAAACCACTGGAAAGCTCTGATTTCCTCCATGTCAAAGTCCAAGTGGAGCAGAGCTGCTGGGATTTTCTCCTCTTGATGAGGGGAAGCAAATCAATGCTGACTGACAGATGCTCCCAGTGCCAGACGCTTTTTTCACCAAGATTTGTGGGAAAGACGACGTAGCTGCTGTTTTATGTTGTCCTATTTTGATGAAACATCACAGGTGGCAGCTTCTTGTGTCCATGGCAACTGTATCCAGGGAAGCTCTGCTGAGTTTCTCGCTGAGCTACAGTTTCTCAGGCTGGAATTTAACTAGAAAATTTCCGGCCTGCATGTTTGAAATTGAATGCACCATTAACACCAGTGTTCCCAGCCCACTAAAGTATATTTGGAGACAAATTTCTTTCATCCAATCATTCATCCAGAAAAAAAAGCAGTTCATCAACAACCAGTTTGAGTGGAAAGTCGCGTCGCTTTATTTTGAAAGTTCTGCTGCAGTCAGCCAGCTAAACCCAGCCGTTTGTGGCTCGTGCTCGTCTTTCAGGGTCGTTGTATCGACAGTTGTCAGTATCGTTGAGCTGCTGCTGCAGACAAAAGTCCTTTTGCTCTGGTTATCGGCGCATCCTGACTCAGAAGAGAGTGCTCTTCAGATCCAGCCACAGGGAGGCCTTTAAAAAAATGTGTTACGACAGGGCGATCGTGGCTCAAGAGTTGGGAGTTCGTCTTGTAATCGGAAGGTTGCCGGTTCGAGCCCCGGCTCGGACAGTCTCGGTCGTTGTGTCCTTGGGCAAGACGCTTCACCCGTTGCCTACTGGTGGTGGTCAGAGGGGCCGATGGTGCGATATGGCAGCCTCGCCTCTACAGTCTGCCCCAGGGCAGCTGTGGCTACAACTGTAGCTGCCTCCACCAGTGTGTGAATGTGTGAGTGAATGGGTGGATGACTGGGTGTGTAAAGCTTTGGGGTCCCTAGGGGGGACTAGTGAAAGCGCTATACAAATACAGGCCATTTACCATTTATTTACTTTGCAATGCTACGATACAAATGAAACTCTGAAGTGTGTGATCATTTTTGAAAGATGCTAAAAGTGCAGCTGGACCGTACGTGGTGGGGAGGCGGGTTTCCTCCACGGCCTGCGTCCTCTGTCCTCTCATATGTGACTTGTCCATCTTCTCTCCCACTTTGCTGCAGGGACTCGTGGCCCTTCCGGCCCTCTTTTAAACTTCACCCCTCGCTCAGGTAACACTTTGTGCGAAGCAGTCCGGCCTCTGTCTGTCCCACATCCTCAGCCGCTGCTCCCATCATCATTTTCGATGCCTAAACTCGTGCTTGTCCACATCACGAGCTGTGATGGCAGAGCAGCCTCTCCCTGCTGTCGTGTCCCTGCTGCTGTCATTTAAAAGCCATCCTGCGTCCATAAAGCCTTCTGTGTGTTTTTGATACTCATCACGCATCAACAACATCCACACCTTCTCTAATTAGCAGGCTTGGTAGTGTCAGCATTTAGATAATTCCCTCTCTGCTGCTGTCCAACCTCGAGTGATCATAAGAGCTGTGACCCGTCTTTGTTGTCTGTTTTTAGAAAGGCGAGCACGGGCGACGGACCCCGAGAAGGAGAGCTGGAGGACCTGCATGAAGACGAGCCCTCCTCTTGAGTCCTACGTGTGCAGCGTCCTCTTTATATCCACTCACGCCTTCATTCACAGCTTTTCCTCAAAGTGGTCACGCAGTGCAAACGTGTCATTCTGCACCTGAAACACAAACTCGAGTTTTTGTTTTGTTTTTGGGGACGCTTGCTTCTGCGCTGTGGAGATATTTTATCTGTGCGAGGAACACGAGCACGTCTGTGGATCATCACCGGTTTATTTTACTGGCCTCAAACTGTATTATAGGCAAAGACAGACGAGTTTTTCCCATCGTGCATGGCGAATATTTAGACCGCATCTCCAGCCTGTCTGCAGCCGCCTCACAGGAGGAAACAGACGTCAGCATGTAAAGGACACTGCACTGTCTCCTGAGTGAACTACGAGGCTTTTATTTCATCAGTCACTGTAATGTTGTACATACGTGTCTTGTGGTATCTGCTGTGTTATTGTGAAAACCCTTTAAGCATATCTGTGCCAACCTTTACTCTGGAGCACTTCCTGCGCCGCCTTCAGACGCCTCGATCGAGTGATCGCAGGGTGACTGCGAGCTGTGTTAATCTGTGTCCTTCACGCTGCTTCTCCTGATGCGTCGTCTGTGTCCGTCTGCTGGTTCTTGTTTCTGTGATGCTGGTGGGTTGGACGTGTTTGCGATCGATGGGGAAAAGTTTTTGGATGGTGAGAAAGTGGAAAAAAAGATGTTATTCTGTATATGAGCACTGTTCCAATTGATACGTTATTTATAATATTAATATATTGTAAAGTTCTTGGATGCAGAGCTGATTTTAAAGCATAAATAATCTGCATACAAATGAATCACTGAGTGCTTTGTAGAAGAAATCGGATCACGTTGTACGTTATTATATTAAGAAGCATCCAAATCATTTTAATGTGAAGTGATGCATGTACCTTTACTCTCAGGAAAACTGACCTGCTCTCTTTAAACAATCTGTCATGTTGAAGCGCATTCACAGAAGAGGAAAATAAGGAAGCTTCAGAGACAATCATCAAGTATCAGATTTAGTGATGGTTCCCCTGCAGCTCTGTCTGGTGCTGAACTGTCATTGTGACGTCAGGCTGCTGCCAGAGAAAGAAAACTCATCCAGAAGAGCTTCAGGCTGACTTTGGACAGAGAGCAGCAGACGTAGGAGGAGGGGCTGGAGCAGGGCGGGTCCATCCGAAGCTGATGGTGTCATGTTTTTGACTTCATGTTTTCATTTTGTTGCTGCTTTTGTTAATTTGAGCTTTAAGAAAAGGGCCGTGTGTTTGTGTTGGCACAACGTGTCAGTGCAACGGCAAACTGTTCATTATAATAAATGGGAACAAATGTAAGATACATGCACGCGCCGGCCACAACATCACTGTTTCCTGTTGACATCTGCTACACAAGTGAAGAGGAAGAAAAATATAAAGCTGTGAACACAGATTTGTGTTCTCGTGATTTGATAACCTGTCAAAGTTGCAACAGTAGATGCTGACGATGTGAATCTGTGCACATGTGAACCCTCTACACATGTAGGCGTGGTGGATTAAAGAAAGAGGCGTGTCCATTTAAAGGTGCTTGGTTTAAAACGGGGCGTGTCCTGGTGTGTTAACCTGTGAGCAGCGCTGTCCTCCGGCTGGTTGACAGAAGCGCAGCTTCGTTTCCTCCAGTGAAGGATGCTAGCTCAGGCACGAGGCTGCAAACGGGATTTCACGCCGTGTTGTTGAGCCGGTGTGTAATGTCCGCAGGGACATGACGTCATAACTGCTTTGACGTCAGTCATAAACTTTATCATCCATCCTGACGTTCTGATGTTCAGCTCTAGATGAAAGACGTGCGCTGCGCACCTTTAATGAAGGCAACCAAAAAATGTCACATGACGTCACCTGTTTGACGTCACCTGTTTAAACGCTCATCCATCGCGTTTTTATTCTGGGTGTCGTTGTGCTGGACGTTTGTCGGGGTCAAAGGTACTTTATTGTTGTCTTTACAGCTCTCGACCTTTAACCTGTGTTTGTTTATGACTCTGCTTGTGTTCAAATTCTTGCACTTTTCCACTTAAATATGTGTAATGTCATTATTGTGAGTACTTCTAACTCCGGCCATTAAACACTGCACAGTGTGTGTGTCCTCCTGTGAAACACCGGATGTGCTCGATGCGTTTCTCACTGCTGAAAATCCACATTTGAAGAGAACTTGTTGTCTAATCTTACTGCTGACAACATGCAAATAGTGAAATACTGTGAAAGTGTACGGAGGAGGCAGCCACTAAATATCACTATCAACAATATTTAAACCGTGGGATTTTCCTCTGTGGCCATTTCTACGACCTTTCACAGTGGAAAGCCTGAACTCCAGCATAGATTAATCCCAATTCCTTAATCCCAATATGTCAGTTTGTTCATACGGGTCTATTTCTCCCCCAGAGGTCTCCTTCCTTTTAGATGTTTTTCATCATTCAAACCCTTGAATGATTTAAATTGCCATAAATCAAAGATCACCTGTGCGTGACCTTTGAACCCCTGCAGAATTAGAGTATATCGGTTTAAGCCAGGCGACCCTCCTGTGGATTGATCAGAGCTGCTGCTGTTGCTGCAGTGACAGAAGAAGAGTCAGTGGGTGTGGCAGCACAGGAAGTGGGTGGCATGACTCGTTTTATTGTGATTTCAGGTCATAATTAGAGCCAAAGGACGGAGATTATGGTGGAGTCTGTACATAATATGAAATCGGGGACTCTCCTGGTCTGCGCATGCGCGTGTGCCTGTCTCAAAGGCATCCGCCGTCTCGTGTCGTCTCGTGCATTTCTGACTGTACTCACTAAAACGGAAGCATGGCACATCCAGTTACAATGTAAATATGTACCGATATATAAATGCGCTATTTTTTGCATGTTTTTTGTACACATACTCAAATAAAAAAAATCTGAATCATTTCAACATTTCTCAGGTTTTGTTCGACCAAAGCAAAAAGAAACTGCGGTGATGTCACTGCACATGTTTTTATTAAGTCAACAGCTGATCACAAGGTGACACGAGGGACGACTCACTGACAGCAGCTGTTTCTTTACAACGACGGTGACAGAGTTACAGAAACAGGCGGAGGCAACACCCAAAGAAGACAAGCAAACAGCAACACCCAGAAAGTACACACCGCCGAGTCGGCTGCCTCCGACTCTACATACAGTCACAGTTCCTCAGGATGACTAAGCTGCTGATGGGAATAACGAGATTCCATTTCACTGATGGGAATAACGTGATTCCATTTCACTGATGGGAATAACGTGATTCCATTTCACTGATGGGAATAACGTGATTCCATTTC